CATTGCAAGAAAACTCAAATATGACCACTCAAATCTGGATTAATAAGACATCGGCTAAAAAACAAGTGTAAATCAGTCTTTCGATAGTATATAATTCACTGCGGTTATGTGACTGTGTATGTCACAATTGTCACACTTAGGGTTGGGAATGGTCTGATCTGGTCCAGTCTTTGAAAAAAAGATAAGATCATCAGTCTTTTAATTTAGACCGGTCTTTTAGACCATCGCTCTAACAAAAAAAAATGTTCACAAATAAAATTTAAAATGCCACGAAAAATATATTTTATTAAATAATGTTCATTAAATTTCAAAATTACAATTACTCTATATATTAATATACATATATTCAATTCATACTAATTATCTTCAACTACTATAATTTCACCCTCCGACCCATTTAATTTGTCCTTCAATGATCCAATTTGACAGCTTTAATTTTTTTGTCTGAAGGTGAAAGCTAAGAAAAGAAAAGAATCAGCTTCGCTAATATTCAGATAACATTTTTTTGATTGTAAATTCAAAATTTGTTACACTTGGCGTAGTTATCATTTATATAGTTTAAACGCGTAAATGTAACACGTTATAAGACCGTTATCAATCCTGTCGATCCGTCCCAAAAAAGATTGGTATAAGACCGGTCCTATGACTGGACCAATGGTCTTTACACTATATCAAATTATAATTAAACCGAAACGTAAAGACCACTTTTCACAATTTTTTTGAATTTTTTTTTGAATTTTTTGAAATTACAGAAACATGGATTCAATAAGAAGGTCAACGAGGTAACAATATACTGTGTAATTGAATTTTCTTCTTATATTTCTATTAATTTCTGCATTTATACGCGTTTTTTCGCGTTTGATAAAATATAACTAATAAAGAAAACGCAAGTGTGTCGATTATAATGATAAGTGCGCTTTACCAACTGACAATGTCGAAGATTTAGAATCTCCAAGTGGTGGCAAACAGAAAACAAAAACTAATGATGAAGGTAAATAATGTTTCATAAGTTAACTCTCTCATTAACGCGTCTAACTGCGTCTAACTTTTATATTATTTATAGACTCCCTTCAAGGGTCGTCTTCGCGTGCGTTCACTCGAAATATGCCTCATAATGGTGAGAACGAAGCTTCATCTGGACTCGTTCAAACAAGGAAAAAGAAAAAGTTGAGCTTGGGTAAAAAGTCGGTGCAAGTAGATTTTTTTTTTTTTTTTGTACAATATAATTCATTTTACGGTATCATATTTTAATTTTTTTTTTAACTTTTAATAGAGGATCAAATAAAGATAATAAAGAAAAAGAACCTGATGTGGAGAAATCCGAAGAAACTCCAAAATATGGAGGTGCTCAAGAGATGAATATGGTAGTTATCACAGACCCAACACCTACCGATGTCACTATCAAAAATGGTGCTGAAGATGACGGTAATTATCTTTGTGCAATTCATTCTATTATAAAGAACTTCTCATAAATCTCATCGCTCTTGACAGATTTATTTGATGATGGCGAATTAAGCGATCCGTCTGCAAAATCAGACGATGATTCAGATGATGATAAATTCGTTTTCGATGTTAGTGATGACGAAAGTGATTACGAAGAAAGCAGTAAAAGTAAATCAAAAAAGAAGAGTCCAAATACGGGAAGAAAAACGAAATCAACGTCAGCAAAAGAAAGCGGTGGAAAAGGTATAGGAAAGAAACAAACAAATACTTCTGAACCTTCAAATAAGAAGACTGTATCTTCACTTCTAACCAAAAAAACGATTGGAGGATTAAAGGTAATTAAAGTTATTGTGCGACAAGAATGATTGATGAAAAGTATTTAATTGAATTTCTCTCTTACGATAGAAGAAAGCGATAGGAGAATCAATTCCTTCAACACCAAAGTTTACTTCTGGTAAATATATGATAATGTTATATTAAATTAGGGTAAAAACTTAAATTTGTTGATTTTATTTTATTTTTTTTTAAATTATTTTAGATTTTAAACCTATTTCGGGTGAGTAATAATAATATTCAGAAGATATCTATTGATTCAACTCTTTATAAATTAACCAAATGACCCGTCCATAGGAGCCTTGAGCAAAATACCTTCTTCAGGTCTATCACGTAAGCTAAAAGTCAAACCGCTTCATCCCTACTTTAAGAAACAATAACAATTATTCAGGTAGGTATTTTTTGTATTTACTGAAATTCGACAATTATTTTATAAATGATTTTTTAACAAAAGATTACATGCATTCAGTTTCCGGCATGTAATCATTTCGTTATTGGATGCTTTTTTATGCGTTAAACTTAAAATGATGAGCGGAATAATATATTAGAGATTTAATTACGAACATTTTAATTAAGAACATATTATTAATTGATGGTAATGCCGTAGGATCCTTTATCTGATGATTTTATTCAATGAACATTTGTTATAATCCTCCCATAAATGACCCCACTTGTAATGATAGACATATTATATGTATATTAAGAACGATCGAGGATGAAATTTCTTCAATCACTTTACGAGATCGAATTAATCTCATGTTTTGAAAACTTAAATTCTTTGTGCAACATTGATGAAAAGTAGGAACGAATAAAATGATTAGTGATACTTGTCAACTTATCTATTTTTTTTTTTTGATTAAAAAAAACGTATCTATATCTATATAATTATACATTATAAAATATAAAACAGTTATCCTTTAAGATATCCGAATATCTCTTTATCTAATAACATTGCTTTGATATCACGAAAGGACATTGGGATGGTAATTCTGGCTTCATCAGAACGAGATTTATTCGAAATAAAAATGCCCTGACGGACATAATCCTCCAAGTAGAGATGAAAGTTCTTTTTCTCACGACAAATTAAGTTCTTGTTGCAATAATTGAAAAATTTATTCAAACTTATGCCGTTCCAGTTTGTGTCACCTTTCCTTTTGGCTTCGACAATATGATTTGCCAACGTGTAAAACATTTCACGACGGTGAGTATTAAACGACATTAACACGGACTTGACTTCATTTTTCTCCAACCCAAAGTTTTGGCAGGTTTTCACTATTTTTTTTCTGTTTGCCATAGATAATTTGTAATTTCCATAGCTCGTTATCCCATGAGCATGCCAATTCATTCTGTCTACTTCGATAAGGTTCCATACGGAAAAAAAGTTTATATTTTCACTCGTAGCAAGCAAATGGATATTTGGAATGCCGCTGAGTAAAACCAATGCTATTCTGGCCTCATGATTTTCAAATACGGAACCGTTTATATCGTGGATCTAATTTTTAACGAATGAGGAAAATTATTTAGTTGTGGACTATATAATAAAGAAAGAGAGAAAAATAATACTTACAATTATTTTGAAAATCGACTTTACATCAGTAGTCTTAAAATAATCACGAATAAGATCCGCTTTTCTTACCAAAGTGAATTTAGAGTATTTACTTTTAGGACCGAATAAATTCTCCAATAACGTTAAATAGGCAAGGTCCAATGTTATTAAGTCGTCATTTCCGTAAAAATGAACCCATGTGATACTTTTGCTTTTATTATGGAAAGCTTGATAATGTTCCAGGATGCGTTCTTTCGACCCAAATCCGTATAACAAAATGTTTTGATTGAAATTTAGCTGAAATTCCCATTGATTAAAATATTTGGTAATGTAACTCTCAATCTCATTAAATTCTTCAACATGTCTCTCAATAACGGGAGAAAGTGCAGATTCGTTATGGATCAAATTTATAATATCGTCTGAAGTTTTTTTTGCTCTGAACCTTCCTGTTTGCATTGCATTATCTTCAAAATACCTCTCTGAACCAGTTAAGTTTTCTTGAACTGGTTGAATCTGTTCCGACCTTATTTTTATTTGCCGGGTAGTAACTTTTAAATAGGAAGCTTTGCCTCCCGGGTTAGATATTGGTATAACTACTCGAGGAAATTCTTTGTTTAAGGCACTAAGAGCTTTCACGACATCCGTCTCTTCATCTTGCATTTCTTCGTCTTCACTTTCCGTAACTGATTCTTGTTCTTCTTGCACGGGCTCTTTAACTATTTCAGAAACCACGAAAGGGCTATCTGATTTAACTCGGTTTGTTATCTGACATCCTCGTCGCCTTTGCTTATTTCTTTCTGCAATTGTTTTTCCTTTTGCAGAAAAAGATGTCAGGAACTTCTTATTACTTTCAAGAAGGAATTTGAGCTCTCTCGGTACTTTGTTACGAATTTGAGGCATATTTGCAGTTGTAAAGAATTTCTGATAACGTTTTATTAGGTTTATAAAGTATTAAAGGTATTAGAAGTTACATGTGCTTTATTAACATTTATGGCTGCACTTATAATTGCGTCATTCGCGTTTATTTATTTTCCAACATACTTTTAAATCGGTGATTTGCATTAAAGTATTAATCTTTATAATATTTTGAATAATTGGATATATATGATTAAATTTATATATATATAAACTTTATTTCAATTTTAAATTTTAAATGAATGTATTATTATAAGAAAAAGCTAAATACTAAATGTTTAATATATTTAATATATTTTGGTTTTTTAGAGAAAATAAAAACTTGAAAAATTTTAATAATATATTTAAATCATTACGTTTTTAAATATTCTTCTTCATATGATCCGATGTTTGTGAAAGTGAACAACTTTTTGGTCTGATCTAATCGATCTAATCAAAGTAAAAAATTATCAAATTTATCAAATCATTATTGAAAAAAAATCGATCGATTCAAATTTTAGGTATCAGAAATCAAAGCATGCAACTTCAGCGTTCCTGATTGAAATAACGAACCGCAAGTACAACTAAGACAGCAAGTAGTCTTGATGCTGCCCCGAGGATTACTTCCTTGTCGTAATACTTTGAAAAAAAAAATATATATAATATAATATTAATGTATTCCATAATTCTTAAGGGGAACGTGTTAAATTGGGATCGTCACACTGCATATCACAATGTGATATCTTAAATTCAGCTTTACGCGTTTAAGAGGAAAACCCTAAATATGTCTAACAAGTCCGTTTTAAAGGCCATAGAGACTTCTGGACGCAATCCAAAGTTAAAGTCACGGCTGAATAATGAACAGGATTTGATTAAGAGTGGTACGTATATAGTATAAAGAAATTTTAGTAATAAAAAAAATATATTAATAGTTTCGCGTTTTAAAAAGTAAAAATCTTAAAGTAAATATTTGTGAGTCTTAATTAATATTTAATTATTTAGGTAAACTTTCGAATAGCTTCACCGGCTGTTTTAAAGAGATACTGTTTAATGGAAGAGAATCTCGTAAAGCAGTAGAAATTAGATATGATGATTGTGATAGGAATATTAAAGAAGTGGACTATAAAATAAATGTATGAATTATTTCAATTTAGGAGAAAAAATCCCATTAATTATTTAATTTCAATTGATTATTGATTTTACTATATTATTTTTTCTAGAATTTTTATTTTCAAATGAATGAAGTTCTCGTAAATGATCTTTATAATTATATCGAAGATACATATTCCGATGAAAATGATACTCATCAGTAAGATTTCAAATGATTTCAAATTAATTTAAAATTATATGTAAATCAAACGGTAAAATAAATTAAATTTTTAACGCTTCCTTCTTGTTATAAGGTTCTTGAAATCACGAATATTTGGGTTGCCGACGGCTTTGGTCTTTGGAGGTATATTAATCTTTTTTTTTTTTTATTTGCTTTATTTACTTGACTTAAATTGGTATGCTTATTTATAGGATATGATCCCTCACGTGAAAACCTTTTTGAAAGTTTTGCTCGTTCTTTATCTGAAAAACAACAAACCTGTGTCGTGTTGATTGATTCAACGACCGTTTTAAAACTAGAGGATCTGGTGACTCACACGATTAGATATTTTAAATATAAAAATGGATCTTCTTTTAGTGGTTATAATCATTTCTTTGCAGAAAATACTTATAATAGTGATGACGAGGAAACAATCAAGGATGACGAGGAATTAGAAGAAGATTCTATCGATGAAGGACAATCTAATCATGATGATGAAAGCGATGATGATATGAATTTAGAAGAGGTTTGGGGCTAATAATTATTTACATATTTTATAAGTTTTTCTTGAGCAACAAAATATTAACAAGTATTTTATAACCAAATCAAGGAAAGTGGTGAAAATGATGAATTAACGTCCCTTTCAGTCAAGGATGTAGTAAGCATACATTAAATAATTCAAAATAGTTCTCTTTTACCGATAAAATGTATGGTTTAATTGAACTTTTTTTTTTCAGGTTGATATTGAATCATTGGTAAAATGGTATGAGAGTAATGCCAAATTACACGGTTAGTGGTATTACCCAAGTGATTTTAACATATCATTATTTCAAAAAATCAAAATTTTAATTTATATTATGTTATATCATAGGTCTTAGATCTTTGCCAAAGTTGATTATTATAATATATAATTTTGATTTGTTAGATCCTGTAATAGCGGAAAAATATCTTCATATTCTCAAGTGAATATATCACATTTATTTTATTTTAATTTTAATTATTTTAATGTGGATATCTTAAATCTTTAAACTTTTCATTTATAGTGAACACAAAAGCCAGATTCCCATTGTATTAATATTGGGCATTTCCTCAGGATATAGAGGCATTGATGCTATTCACGAGGGTTATTCATATTCGGTGGAACGCTTGTTGAGACTCAAAGAATTTCATTTATCGGATAACATTCACAATTTCGATGAACTTATAGCAAGGGTAAATTATATATATTTCATCCCATTTTATTATTCTAATCAATTCGTTAAAATTTATTTCATTCATAGTTCTTCATCAAAAATCATTTTGGCGTCAAAGTCGGTATAAGGCCATACAATTTTCTTAATGATATGTATGGGCGACTAAAAGTTTCTCTTAAATATTTTGAGTGCTCTATCAAGGTAGATCATTATTATTACTACTATTATCAAAACGTTGATTAATCATTAGTTACTAAAAAAAATTTCTATAATATTTAGCATGTCATAAATTACTATTTCTATTCAAATCCATTAAGTATTCTCACAACTATTGACCCGGACGAAGTTTCATCGAGAGTTGATTTATTGAATAAATATCATATAGAAATGATACGTATGCAACCTTCATTTAGAAGGTAATTAAACAATTTACCAGGATTTTATTATGCAATAATATTTTTTTCTTTTACTTAAGAATTTTCTTTTCATATGGATTATAGATTGGTGGAACATTTTATTGATGAGCACAGTCATCCAAAGGTTGCGCGTTCTTTGCTTGAGGATGATAATTCTGTCAAATCCATATTACCAAATATTCTGCGTGATATGAAAAATTATCATCAAAATTTCGCTGTAGCATTTGAAATCGTTCATAATTTGCAGCAATATGTTTGTGATAATCCAAAATTGATCAAGGCAAAGTACGAATTATATTCTTATGCATTAACACATCCTGGATTAGGGGAACATGAGCATGTTCGGTATTTGCTATATGAATTCAAGTGAGTGAATTCATTTTCTATTTATTTAAAATTGATAATGAACATGAATTAACTTTCTTTATAACAGGAAATTGAAGTTTCGAGATCTTAAACAATTCCTCGAAAACTTTCAAAATGTTCTTGAAAAGGCAGAATGTGTGAATTCAGCAATTCCAAAATTTTTTGAAAAATTAGAACAGATTGGAAACTTATTACAATCTTCAATAAAATTACCAAAGAATAAAAAACGAAAGAAAAAAACCGCTATCCTTATGCAAGGAGAGATAGATAGCATTTTCGCACTAGCACCATCATCAACAACTTCACAAGAAATCACCGATAAATTCACGAAATTGATTGACGAAATTTTCGAATATTTACAAGTTTTTTTCAAGTTAAGTTTTATTATGATAATACAAAAAACCTATACTTTTTAATTAATTCTTAAACTTTTTTATCTAATAGGAAAAACCTATGCCATTACTCTACAAAGACTCTTTATGAAATTTTTTATTGGGAAGAATCTTATTCTCTTGAAGGTGTAAGTTGAACTCTACGATCAAATCAAATCAAATCTAATATATTTAAATTGACTAACGTTTGATGGATCTTCAATTAGTTATTTCTTCCAAGAATTCGCCAATCAATCGCTACAGCGCTTGGAAGACCAAAACAATATCTCAATTGTAAATGTTGTCCTGATGAGTCTGATGACGATGATGATGAAATAGATCCCGCAGGAAAAATATCATACACCCAGGATGATAGGTGTATATTATATAAATTACTTGTAGGATTTGGTAAGTTTATTCATATTAATGATTGGTTAGAAAGTTTTGAAAATATTATAAAGAAAGAGAATAGAAATATCACTGATGACGAAACGAAGTAAGTGTGATTGATATTTGAATTATTGTTATATCATCATCATCTAAACAAAATTTTTGTGATTAAATTATTAGGGCAAGATTCTGCAGAGCTTTTGAATCACTTAAAATTGTTGGAGTAATCGCTGATGCTAAAGGAAAGCGAGGTTACGTTAGAAAAATGATTTGGGGAAAATTTTAATAAGAAATGATATATTGTAATAATTATTAAAATCCACAAATCATTTGACTTAAATGATCCAAGTTTTTAGAGACTAGATACATAAAAAAGTTATATACTGCTTCAAATTATATATATATATCTTCTACATATGCTTATTAATAAATTTTGAATATAATTTCTCGTTTTCAATGATCAAAATGGTTAATTATTATTATAAGCAACAAAATAAAATAAAATGAAATGAAATGAAATTAATTAAGCATGATTTCTATTTCTTAATATTAATACAAGAATGTTCAGTACATAGTACATTATTAAACACGAGATAAATTAATACTACTAATGAACCAGATAACTAACCCAAACTGGTTAAAAATTTATCCGTTATATTGATTCACCTTAATTATGAAATTTTCTAAAGATAAATAAACATATATTAAAATAAAGATAACAATTTCTTTTTAATAAGGTTTAAAAAATGCATATTTACCAATTAATATTTATTCTTAATGTTCACCAGGTGCTCTTTTAGGAGCTATTAGAGGATGAAGCTGAGACAAATAAGTAATTGCCCACCTATAAAACAAATAAACAAATAATAAAATAAGTCAAATTTCTTTAACGGTAATAAAATAAGCGGATCTAATTCAATAAAAAAAACAAATAAAAAATGAAATATATAAATATGTACGAACTTACATCAAATAAATGCAAATAAAACTAAGAATAAGCGATGTTCGAATCGTCCTAACATAAAAAAAAAAAATCAAAGCCATAAATATTGAAGTTCATCAAAATTCAACACATAAAGTGGAACCAAAAAATATTTAGTTTTTCAATGGAACTATAAATCTAATCCAAGAAAATGAAATACACACGTTTGATGTTGTCCCTTGGGAACAACAACATAAGAAAGAGCAACAAGACCTGTAATAGCACAGCCGACCCAAACAATGTTAAAACCACTCATTGTTAATCTTTAACTTTTCTCGAGTAAGAAAATTAAATGAAAAAGAAAATTAAGGATGAACGTAATTTTTTAAAACGAACGTCTCGTAAATAAATATTTATATTTAACATTAAACCTTTTGATCTAATCTCCCAATCAGCTATTTGATTAGATTCTACATCACGCCAACCTCATATTTGATTGGTTTACATTTTATGTTCAAGGCAAGGAATATCATAGTCTTGGAGTAAATGAATTCATTTTAATAATATATTCAGAAACATAAAATCAAGATGTAAATGATAATTTATATACTAATATTTATTAATAAAGTCTTTTCGTTTCACTATAATGATTAGAAAAAAAAATTTTTTTTTTGTATAAAAGAATTCACCCATACCAACTCTTTTTTTATTAAAAACGAGGTAAACTTTTATTTTTTTGATTTAATCTTTCTCACATAAAATTCAAGTTCTTTTCCTTCAAGAATATAACCATCACAACGACCACTTTGACCAGGCCGAGAAGATATGATGGCTGTAAAATATTTAATTAACAAAGGAACATAAAATTGAATTATGAATATGATCATAAAAACGTAAAACCTATACATACCGTACAAACGACCTGTAGCAAATTGATCTTCCAAAATAGGATCAACTTTGGCTTCCTCTTTACGAGAATCGATCTTTCGCTTAACGTGATTGGAACGCTTTTTGCTCAATTCCTCTGATTCAACCTAGTTAAAAAAAAAAAATAGTAAATTATTAATTATGTAAAATATGATTTGACAATATGATTCGCGTAAAATCGATCTAGTTAATCAACTTTATAATAGATATAAGCTCATTTTTGATAAAATAAAGAAACGTGTAGAAATATATATAAAGGAGGAAAATTAAATTAAATAATAAACATTATTACCTGGCCATCTTTCTTGGCCTTCCTGCGACCAAGAGGTTGAGCATAATGTGCCTCATACCATTGTCTAAAAGGAGTAGCATCGATTTGAATAACAGCACCTTTCACAAGTGTGTTTGTTCGAACCAATTCGTTGTTCGAGGCATTATAAACGACTGCAATAAGTCTTGTTTTCTTAGAAATGGCTTCTGATCCCCAAGAGAAGTTACCAGAATCAAGACGAAGGGCACGAAACTTTCTGTTCCCGCCACGAACACGGACTTCGTGGATACGTTTAATACCAAGTTTTGTATTACCGGATTGACGACCCAATTCAAATTTTCTCTTTTTACGATATTGAGCTCGTTTAGCACCAGTATGCGAACGCTTGTGGCGGGAATCTCTGCTGATACCTATTCAGGTGTTTAAACGGATCATCAAACAAATTGAGTATTTCTTCATAATTATTTTATTATCAAAAAGGAAATTTTTAACTATTTGGTTTCAAGAACTGTAATATTAATAAAAAGAAAAAAAAAAACTATAAAAAACTTCTTTGATGGCCATTATATTGAAAAATATCCATTATGATTATTAAAATTTGAAAAAGATAATATGGATGGATAAAAGGATTACTAACCCATGTTGCCTTATTTTTTATAAATTTGCAAAAGAGAGAGAAAACTTTTGATAAAAAGACATGATCTTAAAAAATTTTTAAAGAACCCAACAATAATTTCCCGTAACCGACGAATCATCCTCAGATCAAAAAATTTGTATACACAAAAATTTTTTATATAGGAATCCATCAATCTTCTATACGGGATTTAAGTGGAAGCCATTTTACGGATTCTTTCAGTGCAGGAAGATTGATTTTTCCCTGCTTGGCCGTTCTTAGCCATGGCTCCATTTTATCAACGTCCCGAGAATGCTCTTAAAAGAGCGGAAGGTATTTATCTGTGATAGGTTTCTTGATCTAAATTTAAGTAGATTTTCTGAATTGCATAGGAAATCAGTTTATATCTTTACGATTCATGCTCAAAAGTTTCTCAATATATTCGCAATCTGTTGTGTTTCGGTTCGTCATCGTGATTGTCTTTCCCTCTTCACGAATTACTCACCTTTTGCTTATTATGAATTGATAATGTATAAAACGAACATTTTCATTTTATTAATAATTTAATATTTTTTTTTTTCATTGATAAATCAATGGGTAAAAATTATAATAGAGTTAATTGCGGTTGGTCAAAATGTAGCTGCACTTCAATCACTTCACGAGATTGTTATTTCAAAGCGGTCACGCAGTACGCCTCTCGCTGCATTGGAGCCAATAATGCTCCGATTTGTAGAATTGTGCGTTAATTTAAGAAAAGGAAAAACCGCTAAAGAAGGCTTGCATCAATACAAAAATATTTCGCAAAACACTAGCGTTGCGACTATCGAGGTGAGTGGATTGTGTAGGTTAAGGAACCTGTTATAAAATTATGCCGCATTGTTTTAATTAATTAATTCAAAATAACTAAGATTTCACAATAATTTCACTTATACTTTTATCCTCCATTAGCTTGTTATCAAAAAATTTATTGAACTCTCCGAGGAAAAAGTGACTGCAGCTCAAGCGAAAGCGGATCAAATTACTTTGGATGCTATTGATGATCTCGAGGCGTCTGAAACTCCCGAGTCAATCATGTTGAGTACTGTGAGTGGTGAGCAGAGCAAGGATAGAACGGATAGAGCTGTTGTCACTCCTTGGCTGAAATTCTTGTGGGAGGCGTACAGGACTGTTTTAGACATTCTGAGAAATAATGCTCGTTTGGAGATATTGTATCAAGTATGTGATCTAAAATTGCACTTGGATAAAATCTATTGAGAAATTATATGTATAAACTTATATATCATTATTAAATTAAATATAGCAAACGGCACATCAGGCATTCCAGTTTTGTCTGAAATATACTCGTAAAACTGAATTTCGTCGACTTTGTGATCTTCTTCGTAATCATCTTCAAAATATCGCTAAATATGCACATCAACCCCATTCCATAAATTTAAACGAACCTGAAAGTCTTCAACGTCATTTGGATACTAGGTTTAATCAGTTGAATGCAGCTGTTGAATTAGAACTATGGCAAGAAGCATTTCGATCTGTTGAAGACATTCATAATTTATTGTCCATGTCAAAAAGGCCTGCAAAACCTGTTATGATGGCCAACTATTATGACAAATTGACAAAGATATTTTTGGTTAGCGAAAATTATTTGTTCCACGCTGCTTCTTGGAATAGATACTATACTTTAGTTAGAGCTCAAAAACAAACATTAACCGATGAAGAAAATACTCGAATGGCATCTTTTGTCTTGTTATCCGCTCTTGCTATCCCTGTTATCACTAGCTCTAAGACTCGTTTACTTGAAATCGACGACAACAAAAGTAAAACCCATAGACTCGCCGCCCTATTAGGAATGAGTCGTTCACCAACTAGATCTGGATTGTTAAAAGAAGCTGTGAGTATTTCATTTAACTAAAGAATATAATATATATTTCCATTTATATTTCTGAAATTTGTTTTATAATTTTTTTGATAGCTCAACAAAAATATTCTACGGCGTGTACGTCCTGAATTAAAAGACCTCTACAACATCCTGGAAGTCCAATTTCATCCCTTGTCCATATGTAAAAAGATTGAACCAATTATGACTCACCTTGCTCAAGATGTTGAAATGTCTAAATATGTAAAACCTTTACATCAAGTCATTTTGACTCGTCTTTTCCAACAACTTTCTCAAGTTTATGATTCAATTGAACTTGAGTTTGTTATCAATCTTGCCTCTTTTGCACCTCCTTATAATTATGATGCTGCCACTATTGAAAAGTTTATTATGAACGGTTGTAAGAAAGGAGAGCTTTCGATTAGGATTGATCATACAACAAAAAGTTTGACATTTGAAACGGACCTTTTTGCGGCTTCTAAAAATGCTGATGCCGATGGTGCAAAGTTACAAGCTTCACCAGCGGATCGAATGCGTGATCAACTTTCAAAGCTTGCCAAATGTTTTTATACTACTGTTCATATGATAGACCCCACCATAATTCAAGCCAAGGAGGAAGCAAGGGCTCAAGCTATATCACGCGCTTTTGCTGGTATGGAGGAGGAGCATAATAACGCTCT